GGGCAATAAGAGTCAAAATCAAAGGCGACTCAGTGCTAGTGGTGAAGCAATTGACGAAAAATACAAGTGCATCAATGAGAATTCAATGATGTACTTTGTCAAGGAGAATTCATTAATGAGAAGATTCGACATAGGTAACATTAAACATGTGTCGCGAATTGAGAATCAAGAAGCTAATGACTTGGCCTAGATAACGTTAATGTACACAATCTCCAAAGAAAAATTGGAGGAGTTAATCGAAGTCAAAGATAAATTTATCTCGACTAGTATATTTTCCGTAGAATTGTCAAAGTCAAAACTGGTGGGAGTAGAAGAATTGGGAGAACTAAATCCTGAATTTTTTTAATCTTTTGCCATTGACAATTTGTCTAGTGATGATTGACGAAGATCATTTATAGAGTTCCTGAATAATCCGACGGGAACGAAAAAAATCTAAAGATCAAATATAAGGCTTTAAGTTATGTCATCGTTGGAAACGAGTCGTTTAAAAAGACGCCCGAAGGAATATTACTTAAGTGCCTTAACAAATGTGAAGCTTATTTGGAAATATTTAGTGCTCATAGTGGATCATGTGGCGCCAATTAAGTAGGACACAAGACAAAGTGGTTGTTGTTTCGACAAGGGGTATACCAGCCTACAATGTTGAAGGACTGCATAGAATTTTCCAAAGGGTGTCAAGAATTCCAGAAGCATGTAGGGATCCAACATGTCCTTTCTAGTGAGCTACACTCAATGTTAAACCTTGGTCATTTATAGGTTGTGAATTAAATTTGATAGGTGATATTAGACCTACATCATCTAGAAGTCATAAGTATATTTAAGTAGGCATAAACTATTTTATCAAATGGGTCAAAGTAGAGCCTTTGGCGAATGTGGACCAAGATCTTGCGATTAGTTTTATACAAACCCACATCATATGTAGGCTTGAGATTCCTGACACCATAACCACAGACCAAGGATCAGTCTTCACATGTCAAAAAATGGTTGAGTTTCCCTCAGAATCGGGAATAAATTTTCGGACATCTTCCCCTTATTATGCCTAAGCAATTGGTCAATTCGAGGCTGCAAAAAAAATCATAATTGGCCTAATAAAATAATATGTGGCCAGAAACCAATGAATTGGCATAAGACTTGGGATCAAGCACTTTTGACTTGTCGAACGTCCCCTAAAAAGACAACTAACACTACACCTTTTCAACTAACATTTGGACATGAGGCAGTGTTACCTGCTGAGATATACTTAGAATCAGTAAGAATTTAAAGACAAAGTGAGATCCCATCCAACCATTACTCGAACATGAAAATTCACAAATTGGTCGACTTGGATGAAGAAATGTTAGTGGCTCTAGACGTTCCTATTAGACAAAAGGAGTGAGCGGCTGAGACTTATAATAAAAAAGTTAATTCTAAGGTCTTTTCAGTCGGTGACTATGTTTGGAAGGTAATATTACCTATGGATCTAAGGGATAGAGCCTTAGGGAAGTGGTCACCAAAATGGGAGGGGCCATTTAAAATTAACATAGTGCTTTTAAATAATACTTATGAGATTGAGGAATTAAGTCATGACAGTCAAATAATACAAGTAAATGGTAAATACTTGACAAAGTATAAGCCAAGTTTGTTTATATTTAAAGTATGCCAAAAATGAAAGTCATTACAATAATTCAAGTACATAGAAAAAAACAACAGAAAAAACATCATCTAACGATTTCAACATCTCCTCAATTCTTCAAAGCGAAATCTCGTACGCTTAAGCTTCTTGTTGACCATGAGGTCAACAAATTTCAGCTTTCTTACGCTCTATGCCAGCATTAACATCTTGGACTAATTACTCGTCAATAGATGCCATTTCAGAAGCATTTATCCCTCCATTCTCCTTTTTTGCTGCCTCGATCTTCAGTTGAAACCAGTTCATCTGCTGAGTCCAAGATAAGATGTCTGCCTCTAGAGATGCCAATCTATTTTTGGCCTTGGCCTTTTCCTCTAATTCACCAAATCGAGGTTGAGATTGAGAAACTAGGTTTTATTGTTCGAGCATGACCTCAGTTCTTTTCTCGAGTTGATTGATAGAATTCTGTTTATGCGTAATAACTTGAATGACTTGTTCAAGAAGAGGCTCAAAGTCTAAAACAAAGCCATCAATAGGGTTTGGCACCTCCGACTTTTTTAGCTTCAATAGAAACCCTTGGATCTCAAAAAGAGCAATTGGGTCATCCTTGATTGTTCAAATAAGGTCCATATCGATAAGTTTGGACTTCAATTGCTGGAACAACTCAGCAAAATTATTGGTATGAAAATCAGGCGAAACAAGAGATACGTTAGCAAAGTCTTCTTGGCTATCAACAATCCTTTTTAAGGCCTCGACTGGATTCTATTGACTGGCTCCCGCCTCTGAGCGATGTAGATTCGAATCAGATACTTTATTAAGGATCTTAAGAGATTGGGACTATGACCCTGGAGTGGGAGATGAGTGAGTATGCTCCTGAATACCCTCACGAGAAAGAGATCCAACAGGTTCTAGAACTTTATCAGGCGCACCCATACCTGAGTTCTATTTGATTGGAGTATCCTCTGGTATTTTTGGAGTTGGAGCCACATCCCTTTCAGGCTTATGAGGATTTTCGTCAAACATAGGTTGGCCTTGCCCTTTAAGTGAAGATTCACCTGCTAGACTTTCAACAGTTTTTGCAATGGGATCCAAGTTTCCCTCCAATAATTTTGGACACATTGCACATGCAGGTATACAGTTGGCACCAAGAAATTACGAGAAAATATGAAAGTAAAAAAAATTAAATGATTTTCTTTTTCTCATTTGAGTTAATGATGCATTAATCTTCTAGGAAACAGGGAACGATGATGATAAGTTGCACACACGTCTTTGATGTGGCAGTTTGATAGAAAAGTGGTAATGATGACCCATAAATGAAAAATAAATAATGATAAAATATCTAGTTGATAAGATGTGTACAAGCTAGTATGAACAATGTTGAGGGTTTACAAAAAATATCACCTTTCTTTCATCTGATACATGATCGAAAGTGACATTTTTTGAGGGGCATCTGTTATCTTGTAATTTTAAGTTAGAGAAAAAGTTAACAAATAATATTGTGTAAATAGGACGCTAAGTGTTAGCATTTAATGACCAGCTTCGACAGGTTAAACACGTCGACTAAAGCGCTTCGACTAACATGCTGAAAAATGTTTTGGAAGAATCTCAAGAGCAATTCTAACTAATCACTTGACACCATGTCGAGGTCGAAGCTATCGACGAATGTCAAAGACTTAGAAGATTTTAGAGACTTGAAAGGTTATCTCAACACTAGTTTTTCATAAGACTACCTTCGACAAGCAAGCCGTTATGTGCTTTGGGCAATTACGAACACAAGATAATGGTTTCTCAAAAGTTGTGAGTTCTGACAACATGACATTGTTTTAGAAAAGTAAGTTGCATGCTATTAAATACATGTCTATATTTTAGGAATAAGCTATCGGAGAAAATTATCTTTAGTTTAGCATAAATAGCAGATTTATACATTATAATCAAGACCGCAAAATTCATACACTTCTCCATATAACCGAAGTACCCGAGTCATAGAGAGAAACTATTTGTGAGTAACATGTATGAGTATGCGTCTGTCTCTTTCATTGTCTTTATGTTTCCTTAATTGAAACACTTTTTTATTATTGTCATTTACTACGTTTGTTTAATGTTATTTATTGCATGTTTCATTTATTTTAATTCAAGATTTTGCGTCATTAAAGTTTGTCTTCACTTTGTCTGCATGCAGACATTCATAGTCACTTCATACACACATTTTTTTGTACACGTGTTTTGCACAAATTGCTTTCGAGATTCTTTGAGTTAAACTCGTAATTGTTCGCTAAAAATACATGCGAACAACGGCCAACATGTCCATCAGTCATTTAAACATAGTTTTTACCTACGAAATTTGACATAATAGTGACAAATTTTGTCTCTCACTTAGGGGTGAAAATAGGTCAGACAGATAACAGGGGTCTACGGCCTAGCCTACATAAGCTCAGGTCATGCCAAACTTTTTTTTTAAATAGAAAATGTCTAGGTTTTTTTATAAGTCTATTTAGTTAAAAATGCTAGGTCTAAAGCCATGAAAATAATCTTTTAAGTCTAATAGGCCGACCTATTTAAATAAATATGAATAACTTTTTTTATCATTATGTAATGTTTTGTACTTAGAATTAAAATACATAAATAAAAATTGATTATCTTGAATAACTTATGAAAATAAGATGAAAACACCTTATGAACAATGTTATAAATTGTTTTCATAGGTTATCTTAAAAAAATAGTCTCACAAAACTTATGCTAATAGATAATTTAAAATAAGTCAATGCAAACAAATTTTTAGTCTCGTTAATTTTTTAGTTTGTTAGTCTATTTAAACATTATTTTAATTGATTATACTCAGACATAAAAATAAACCAGAAAATGTCATACTCAGACATAAAAATAAATCTTTAACATGTTAGGTTACAGGTCAGACTAAAGTTTTAATTTTTTTGATAAATTAAATTTAAGCTTGCTAAAACCTAATTCGGTCCGGCCTATTCTCATCCCCACTCTCGCTATAAGTCAAATTGCTTGCAATCAATACTTGTATTCTTTTATTATTTTTCATCACTAAGAAATATACAATATTAATTTGTATTGATTTTTTTATTTATATAAAAAGTGCCAGTCTCGTTAAACAAATGAAGAAAAGTATATTGATAAATCAAATTCATCAAGTAATATTGATATATTGATACGTTCATATAAAATAAAACTAACCATTAAATCGAGACCTTCATATAAAATAAAACTAACCACATACTGAGTACTAATTAGTTTCAATACATTTAGAAATTTTAAATAGCATTCATGGAAATCTTAGAGATGAAAAACTATGGTCAACCCTTGCCTTATACTAATGTAATACTTTGATAACTCAAAGTTGAGGAACACATATCCTTCTAACCCATTAATTAGTCACACATGGTTTTTGAGCACATATCTTTAGAGGTTGAAAACCATGGCGAATAGTTGCTTCCCATACTTTCTTAGTGTCAAGTATAATGTCACCACACTCATCAACATTCCATCCTTCTAAAGCATGAATTATCCCAGCAATACGCCATGCACTCATTACTCTTCTTGGAAGCCAATTCTGTCACATATATAAATACGTTGATTAATTATTCTCATTTTAATTATATACATATTGAATGCTATAAAATGTGTTATTTAATTTACACACCTCACACGAGTATGAGTTCATGAATGTGTTAGGAGTAATCATTGATGGTGTGTAATGGTAGAAACATCTTTCTCTCATTTTCTTTGGAGGAAAATGAGAAAATGGTATGAACAAAGATCCTTCTGGTGCTTCCATTTGTTCATCTTCATTCCATTCATCTCCAACTAACCATATCTATTAACAGTAATTAATATAATTAGTTATTAAAATAGTCACTATTTTCAAAATATAAGAAAAAATTACATCAATCACCTTTGAAGTATTGATTGGTGAAAGAGCCAGGTTTTCTTTTGACATGGGGACCTTTTGTTCAAGCTCTTCAAGCTCATACTTATATAATACACCTACCTTTATGTTTTTTATGCATAGAGCATTAACAATGGTTATCGCAACCTTATCGAACTTGCCTCGAAGAAGCACTTGATTTGTTCCTTTAGGAATGTTGTTGAGCACAATAGCAGCAACTAGACTACTCCCATCTACAACTTTTATCTTTAGTTCTGGGGATCTTCCAATATAGAGTTCACAATGTGCATTAAAATGTTTCTGTACTATTAAGATGGATAATTAGTGTTACTTTATTAATAATAATAATACATTAATATAAAAGGTGTGAGTAAATTAATTACCTCATTAAAAAGTCCTAGGCTTATCACCTTTGCTCCATTTAATTTAGCCTCCATAATTGCATTTTCAATCAAGTTGTCCAATGTTCTTCTATGCTTTTTGGAAAAATACTACAAAGTATAAAATCATAAATAATTTCTCAGAATTGGATCACAATGCAAAATCTAAAGTGAGACAAATAAGTATTTTAAAAGAACTGTCATACTTGTGTTTTAAATCTTGGTATAAGCCAAGACTGTAACTTAAGATTGTTGAAGGTGTTGCTTTCTATAACAACGGCGCGCCCACAAATCCATGTCATAAGCATAGAGAACATTGTAAAAGGCCACATCAAATGTAGATACCATTTAGATCTATGAGGGTTAGAGGCTAAGGAAGAAAATCCCAAAGGCAATTGATAGATGGAATCAAATGATGTTAAATGTGTTAAGTGCACAACATCTGGTGACTCCTTTGGTCTCTTCAAACATTTTTCATATGTAGCATCGGTGGTTTTATCTACTGTGCCATAGATATAGTCGTAAATCGGCATGAAGAGTGAGTAATTTGTCCTGAATTTCGTGTGATGCAGAGAGTGAAACCTGCGGAAATAAATTAGTATAGACTTAGCATTGTAGAAATTGTTATGAATTTAATGACTAACATAGTGACATTATAAACTTACGATGGCGTGTATGAGAGATACTTGAAAAGAGGAAAGAATGACAAGAGTTTCTCAGGAAAGAACTCAAAGTTGCAATGACCCAAATTGTTCATGAAATCAATGTAAAAGATATAACCATATAACGCAGCCACAGAAGATTTATAAATGAACAATGGTGTCAACATTGGGATTGCAAAAAGTGTAAAATACGCCAACATTTCAGCAAATGGATGTGTCACCGCTGTCATCAACAACACAACAAAAAAGTTACCATAAAATTTACTATTAGTATCTTTTCTTTTTAATAAACAAAATAGTATTAATTCAGAGTATAAGGGATACTACAACTCCGGTAAAAAATGTTCATACAAGTGATAGGTTGGGTGACAATGGAAGAATGATGATGAGAATGATAGCGAGAATATAGATAATGATGATGAAGTGCTCTATGAAGCCAGTAGTATAAGAACTCTACTGGACCAGCATGCAATAGTGCTGTGAGAACAACACCATCAGTTCTCCACCATGGTAAATTAGAAGCCATAGGAAATATCATGTATCCTATATAAGTCATGAGTGCAGTCAACAATATTTGATCATCCCTACAAATGTAAAAAATTCAAAATCTTAATGATTAGACAAAATGTCAAGAAACTTATTAGATTATCAATATAAATTTAATTAACCAATTGGTTTCTCTGTCGACTTGTTCGAATTCGATGCCTTTGTCAACAATTTTGCATTTTCCCTTAGAAGTTTGGTAGCGTGAGATAGAAATCCAAATTTGGTTGTGTAATATTCTGATGAATATATAAGGAAATACGAGATGGTAGACCGGGTCAGGTTGAGTCCATATGAAAGTGTATATGGTATGTGCAATCCATGGAGTTAGAATCACAAACTTGAAGTCTCCAAGAGGTTTCCATGGCCAGTCTGTAAGGATGCCTGGTTTGGAAGCCATATTCTATGAATTTGTGATGGTGATATGAGATGGTATATCATATGCAAAAGCTATTTTTATAGTGCTTCAATTGCAAAATTAAGTGTTCATTTAACTGTTTTTTTTTTTAAAGTTTATTTCGAAGAGTCACACATTATTAATACAATGTTTGGCAAAAAAAAGAAAAGGAAAAAAGGCATATAAGTGTTGGGAAATAAACAGTACATATTTCTGGATAAATTTAATAATACAACTTGTGTAAAAAATGTACAAACATAATCAATAAAGTAATAATTAATTCAGTTTCATGTTTCAGTTGCGCGTGGGTGTTTTAAATATAGTGGTTGAGTAGAGAGTAAATAAGATGTACGGTTTCAACATATATTTTCTTTAACTAAATTTAGTTTGATAATAAGTAGAAATCAGTTTGGTGCTGCATCGGTCGATCCTGTTATTTGTTTTCATATTTTACAAAAAGATTTAATATTCTTTTTCATCTGTATTATTGGATCTGAGTACATTTTAATCTCTTAATTTTAAAAATGATCATTTTAATCTATTAATATTACTAATTGTTTTAAATTTATCCTTATATTTCATTTGATAAACACTGTCAATTTCTCTAACGTTTTGTCCTAGTTAGTGGGGAAGATAGAAATTTTTAAAATTTGGGCAAAAATTTAAAGACCGCAAATTCAGATTGTATATAATTAGGGTTGTCAATGAACCGAATCAACTTGAATACAGTTTGAAACTCGGTTCGACAATTAGTTCATTGAACTTGGTTAATGAACCTAATGAGTTGAATATGAGTGAAAAACTAAGTTTATTAATTAAATGAGTTGAACTTGAACTATACATAATTCAAATAGTTAAGTTCATATTATATACGAGAAGAATTATATGAACTTTAAGAGTATGTTTAACGATTTAATATAAATTTTAACCTTATATTTTATTTTAATTTAACGGTTTTAATGTACAATTTATATTCTCAAGTGAGCAAAATATTTCTAAATATAATTACTCAAATAAAATTAGCATCATATTAATTAATTAATTTTTGAATTAGTGAATTTTGGAGACAAATTTAAATTCCAATCTAATAACTTTTATTTTATTTCAATATTTTTCTTTTAAAATAGTATTAATTTAAAATGTCAAATATGTAAAAAATAGACTTAAAAAACGACTTTTAAGTCCGTGAAGTAAGTGAGCTCAACCTAACGAGATAAACCTAATGAGTCGAACCGAGTTGCTCGTGAACTTATAACGAGTCGAGTTTGAGCTTAAAAAAGAGCTTGTGTCAAACTCGAACCGGGATTTGAGCTGAACCAATTCTTAACGAGCCGAGTTGAGCTGAGGCGAGTTCGACTCGACTCATTTCCAGCCCTATATATAATATATAAAAAGTTATCAATCAAAATAAAAGATCTTTAATTAAATTGATCTCGACAGAATTTTAAAACTAACATAGCCATATCTAATTTGAGGTTGATTCTAACATGGAACGTCATTTCATGTGATTCATGAAATTAGCATCAAGTTAACAAAACAAAATTTTATTTACTAACTACTGTTATTATAAACTAAATTTAAAAAATAAATTCTTAGTTAACATGAATTGAACCATAAGGTGAACATAAATTGAAGTATTGGACCTCATGTAACATAAAATGAAACAAACAATAACAATAATTCAACACCATAATTCATAAACCACAACCTACAACAACAACAATCATCAACAACAACAATAATTCAACATCATGAAGTAAAAGAATTGAAGCGAAAATAAATAAGAAATTGATTAAAGCATTTTATCGAACAGCTAATATATTTTTTATATTATTTGAGGATAAAATTTATTCTTTTCTTCTTCTTTTTTACAACACTGTACATATTTTTTAAAATTTTAGTAGTTGTTACTTTTATGTTAATTTTTATTTCTTCTAAGTATTTATTTTGTTGTTTTTGGTTAATTTTTTCCTAAATATTATAATATCAAAAAAAATTGATGTAATGTATGCTTAATTACATAAAATAGATTTAAATAAATCATGTTTTTATTTGTGAAAAATATTTAATTTATGGCGGTCAAAACTGCCATTATCTATGACAAAGAAAATGCTATTTTATTCAATTTATATTATGACATTTGGTGTGGCAGTCAATTTTATTCAAAACTGTCATGTTTTTATGCATTTTCGTTAATTGTGAGGGTTTAAACCGCCGTAATATCACTTTTTAACCGCCGCAATATTCATAATTTTTTATATAAGAAGGAAAATTTTGGGCCAGAGCCTGGGAACATGCCCAGCCTAGCCGGGCCTTAAAATCGCCCATGGTCCTAGTCAGCTGCCACGTAAGATCACACCTTATAAACCAACGCTTATCTTCTTCTTCAACCTATGAAATTAGGATATTGTGCATCTTCTTCTTCTGCAACACCTGTAATTGAAGGTTTTCCTCTTCAACTTTACGTTTAGAGGCTCAATTAATAGTATGAGTTAGGGCAACTCCAAATTCATAACTGAAGGAAAAGTATGAAGTTTTCAAATCCATATCCGTTCCAAAATATTCGGGAATTGGTGGAGAAGAGAGTAATGTTTCGAAATCCAGAGGTTATTCAACTTCTTCAAAGAGACGATTGGGTCCTAGTTGTTTCTGTGGAAACCTTAATGATCTTAGAAGGGCAACGACAATTAAGAATTTTGGGAAGCAATTTGGGGGATGTCCACACTATAAAGTATGAATTGTCAGTATTTTTTATGTCGACTTTAGTTGTTCGTGTTTAACAATTTCTTATTTTCACGCAGGGGTATGCTAAACATGAATGTGATTATTGTCGTTATGCGAAAAACAACACAAAGTCGCTATCGAACTTTATTTATCCCAAATGGAAGGGGAAACATTGAGAAAACTCAAAAAGGAAGGATAAGGTGGTTTTGCAACCAAGATATGGGTTCGAAAGCTGCTTATACGAGGGGAATGTATTGGCACCCGTCGCATCCATTGTACTCAATAGGAACCATTCGCTTGTCTTATGTGTAAGGATGTTGCTAAGAGTTTATGCTTGCTATGAATGCTTTACTAAAGGAAAAAAGTTTTTAAATTAGTGTGCTCGCCGAGTGTAACAGCCCAATTTTCAATAACTGATTAATGGTACTAGTTAACTGGTTTGTGTGATTTAAGTGAATTATTGGATTTAACTGATTTATTCTATTTGGTAGAATAATGTGGACTTACTAGATATTCTCTAATTAAGGATGAGATGAGATATTTTATGAGAAAATGAATTGGTAAATATTGGAGAGAAGAAATATATTGGAGAGAAATAGAAGGGAAAGATATATGAGGGAAAGTGGAAGGGAAAGGAAAAATAGAAAACATGAGAGAAAGAAAGAGAAAGAAGAGAAACTAGAAGGAAAAAGAAGGAAAAGCTTGGAAAGCTCAAGAACGACTTCTAGCTTCCGATTAATCGAGGTAAGGGTGTGAAATGTTGTTATTCTATCAATGTTTATGATTATGTATGTTTTTGTGGTTTGATTGAGATTGTTGGAGAGTTTCTACCATTTTCCATTCTAGGGCATAAATGAGTTTAATCGGTAGAAACCGAGTTTTAATGGTTAAAAATGAGGATAAGTAGTAGAGTTTAGTCGAGAAATGTTGGGCTAAGGCTGCTAGGACGAGTTGGGATTGAATCGGTTGGATTTCGATGAGTTTCAAAGTTTTGGACAGTGGGGAATTCTGAGTTCGCAGACCCTCGCTAGCTTGTTCGCTAGGCGAGCAGGTCGCGAGCATTCACTGGGCATTCGCTGTGGCAAGCCAGTAGCGAATGGTCCCAGACTTGGACATAATGGTTTTGGTGTTCTTCGCTGGTAGCGGAAGGGGTGGTGAGCGTTCGCTAGGCCTTCGCTGAGCGAGTGTGGTAGCGAATCAAGTCAGTGGCTTCTGTTTGCCTTCGCGAGCTTGTTCGCTAGGCGAACAGGTAGCGAGCACTCGCTAGGCGAGCAAGGTAGCGAGTATGTCAGCATGTTGTTTTCTTGTGTTTTCCATCCAATGGTTAATTGTTTGGTTCAATGATGTTAATTTCTATATAACGTGAATAGTTTGTGTATTATTGAGATGAGACGTGCTGTGGGTAGCCTTATGGCGTGAATCCTAGATTATGAAGTATGTCCTTTTGACAATTATACGCATTGTTTGAATTAAACATGAATGCATGATGAATGTGATTGAGTTCGTTGCAGTTGGCACGACCTTGTGAGTGCATATTGATTTTATGTGATATTGATGTTGAGTATATGTAAACGTGCGAGATTCTTACTCACTGGGGTAGAATGACAAGGCATCGTTCCTAGTATAGTAATCACCAGGGTAGAATGACTGTGATGTTGTTCCTGGTGGGGTACAAGCGATGTACCCATAATCCAAATGAGGATTTGCGAGAGTTGATGAGTTTATATGAGTCATATGGTATGTGTATGTGATTGTTGTATGAAAGTGTGAGATGTTACCGTTTGGCAATTATGTGTATAATTGTACGTACTTGTGTGAGGTGTAATGCGTAATTATATATATTTGTGAATATGTATACATTTCAAGAGTGTGTGGAGTCGTTTTGCATGTGAAGCATCATGATTGCATTCTTATGTCTTGATCCCGTGGAGGATCTGCAGAAACCTCGTGTGCCCTTGTGAGGTGTGAACGATGGTTTATTCTTGATTCCGTGGAGGATCTACAGAAACCTCGTGTGCCCTTGTGGGGTGTGAGCGATGGTTTATTCTTGATCCTGTGGAGGATCTGCAGAAACCTTGTGTGCCCTTGTGGGGTGTGAGCGATGGTTTATTCTTGATCCCGTGGAGGATCTGCAGAAACCTCGTGTGCCCTTGTGGGGTGTGAGCGATGGTTTATTCTTGATCCCGTGGAGGATCTGCAGAACGATTGTGTGCCCTTGTGGGGTGTGAGCAATCCTGAAACATCGTGTCCCCATGTGGGGTATGAGCGATGGGTGAACA